CACAGCCTTCCGAGGCGCGGCTGGGGCGGCCTTCCCGCAGCCGTCTAAGAGGCACCGGCCGCTTTCCCCGCAGCTGAGGAGGCAGCGAGGCTGGTCCGGGCGGGGCGGCGGTCCGGGGCGGGGCGAGCGCCCTTCCTTGCTGCGCGGGGCGGTGGATCGGCTCACTTGGCCCGAGGAGGCGCCGCGCCAGCCGTGGCGGGGGCTGCGGGGAGCGGGCAGGCAGAGGCGGCGACCGAGATGCTGCGCTACAGCTCGGGGCTGACGGTGACCCACACCAAGCCGAGGCAGCCGCAGAGCAGGCGGAAGGTGAGCGGGCGGGCGGGCGGGATCCGTGGCCGGAGAAGCGGCGGGGACCCTGGCGGAGGAGGGCGGGGAGGCTGCTCCAGACCGGCCAAACTTCGCGGCCAACAAAGAGACGCTCCCTCCGCTGCGGCTCCTGCCGGTCTGCTGGGCCCGCCGCCTGCCTTTCCCCGAGGGGCCCGGGAGGGGCCCTGGCAGCCGGGAGCCCTCGCGTCGGTCGAGTCTTCGGGCCCCGGGGAAGACGTGGGCTCCGCGGGGAGGGGAGGGGGCGGCCAAGGGGCAGAAAACCCCCGCAGCCTTCCGGCGCCTTGGGCGGCGTGGCCCGGCAGCGGCTCCCCAAAGAGGAGGCCTTTGGAGGCAGACCTGGAGGGGCGCGCCGGAGGTCTTTCAGCAGGCCAGGCGGGGGCTTTGGGAGGGTCTTCCAACGGGGGTCTTGGCCTGCTGCCCTTGCCCGAGGCTGGCAGGGAGAAGAGGGCCAGGTGGGGCAGGAGGCGCCCTTGGCATCCTCGGGGGAGGCTGGTCTCTTTGGAGGCTGCCAGGCGCTGCTTCCCACTTTCCCCCTCACAAAGAGTCTCTGGCAAGTTGGGTTTTAGTGGAACTGAAGGCGGAACGTTGATCCAGGTTTCCACCAAAAGCAACAAGGTAAGTAAGTAAAATATGAGGCTGTTTTGTCTGTGAAGATTGCAAAGGGGCCTGGGGCCCCCAGCGTCTTCTCTGCAAAATGGCTGCAGAAGCAGAGAGCTTCTCCTTTTATTTATAAAACTTCCTTATTCCATAAGAGCCTTTCCTAATCAATTGAAGCTGAACAAGCCGGGGTTTGGAGAAAATGCTTGGCAGAGACGATCCCTTTGACAACGTGTGGCCATTTCTGAGTTGAGCTGCCCTTCACCTCCGCTGCTTACCTGCCCCAAATCAGATCCTTTGCTCTCCTCCAGGCAAACGTCTGTCGGCTGCGCTTAACTCTGCCTGCGGAAGAAAGCTGGTCTCCTTGGGGAGGAGGAGGGACAAATACGGCTGAAAAGACCCCAAAGGTGAGATGGTGAAGGGCAACAATTCGCGGGACCCCCCCCCCCCCCGAGTGGCCTGGGCCCCTTGAAACGAGCCACTTGAAAATAAGCCCAGAACATTTGAGGATGGGCGTTTCTCCCAGAGGGCAGATCCTGCGGCAGAAACACTCCCGGCTTTTCCTGGAAATTTCCTTCATCCTCTGGGGGGAAATGCATCCAAAGATGTTCAGGGCTTTCTTTTTAATTAAGCCAGGTGGTTTTGAAGGAAAAGCTGTTGCTGGATCTTAATTTTGAAAATGTACATCATCTAGAATTCGACCTGATTAGGGGATGATTTCTGAGGCCCTTTTGAGAGGCCCTTCGGGGTCGTCACCAGAGGCAGATGGGTCGGCTGAGGGGGGGGTGGAAGTTTGGACCTTGAATGAAAACCTCCTTTTGACTGGACTTTATTTAGTTCTTCCCCTTGAGTGGCTTTCCTGACTTAATTGCTGTTTGTACTGTGGGGAGAAATTGCCCCTAATAATAGAGTTAAATTGGAGAAAGAGCGTGTGGGAAAGGGTCCGTAGGCTCCTGCAGAAGCCCGGGGGGAGCCCACTTGTGGCAAGGAGGAGCTTTCAAGGCACAGATTTCATGTGCCAGGCAAAAGTCAGAGAGTTCCCTTCTTCCCCACCTGGAACACGCAGCAGAGTCATCCTGTGAAGTTTCTAACAGCTTTATTGTCACCACACCCATGGCTGTGTGAGGTCACGTGGACATCCCTGTGCTCTGTTGGTGCCAGTCGGCCTTTAGCAACACAGCAGTAATTTGCCCTCTGAGAGACAATGCTGGCTGGCCAGGGTGGGGCTCCTGAACTGGCTTCTGTGCTTCCTGGGTACTGAACAGATGTCACTGCCCTTGGAGGGGTGATGCCATAGAAATTGGGGGGGGGGGTCAGTCTGCAGATCCACCCAGAGGAGCCACCATAAAGGTGGCAGAGCTTGCTGGGCCAAGAAAGAACCTCCACCCCCCTCTTCCTGATGGAAATGTCTGGGGCATTGCACAGCCACCGGGGCCAAAGGTTACTGGAAATCTGGTTAGATCACTCTGGAGGCTGCTCTGTGGATCCTGAAGTGCTGATCTGCCTTCAGACAGAAAAATGGGGGTGGCTGTGCTGTGGTGGGGAGGGAAAGCCAAGGGGGCAGACCAAAGGTGGAAGGAATGCTGGGGAAGGAGTGGCAAGGCCAGATCTCCTCCGGGCACCATCTCCCAGGCCTTCGGCTCTGCAGGGAGCTCGACTCCACCAGTGGCCGCAGGAAAGTTTTGCTTCTGCAGCCAAATACCTTCCTGTTGACCTGAGGAACAGCTGCCCTCTTGAGCGGCAGCAAACAACAGCATCTTGCCTGGGAATACTGTTTATTTTTTAATAGGACTGGAAATAGTCGCCATACTTCCCTCCTCACTCTTAACACGTAGCATTTGGGGGAGGGAATCAGCCGAACTGAATTAACAGATTTGGATTTTATTAAAATCCTGCCACACAGTTTATACTATTAACCTGACATTTACAGTCCTGTAGTGAGAAGGATTCGGAGATGGCTGCAAGAATTCAAATCCTACATCAAAATTATGTTCCAAATTTGTTGTTCTGTTTTATTCATCCAGGCCTCGGTTGTGTTTGCCCCTAGAAGGCAGCCATAGAGAACCCCAAAACCCACATCCCCTTATCAGCCTCAGTACTTTTTAAAAACCAGGAAGTCCGGAGTATTATCTCCCCCCCCCCGTGGCCGTGGGGGTCGCTGGGAAACCTCTGTAAATGGCTCTTTGCATGGAGAAGAGGGATTAGAGAGGAATCCTATGGATACACACCATCAGGTTCAAGAAGGGCTCCTCCTAGGCCATTGTGCATTGGATTGCAGAGAATTTAATTAGACGTGTTTCTGTGTAAAGGTTTGTGTAAACATAGCTCATTGCTGAACTATCTTGAGGCAATCTTGAGTGGGAAGAATGTGGTCCTTTGAACAGGGCCAGGACTTCTCGTTCTGTACCTCTTCTTCGGAAGAGCACCTACCTCTGGGCCTCCTCTTCTCTCCTCCAGCCACTTCACTCCTGAGTGCCAGAGAGGAGCTCTTAGCTATCAACATTATAGTCAAGTGTTGGATATGAGACCAAATAAAACTATCCAGGAAGTGAAACTTTATTTTTGCATCTGGCTCTCCACCCAGTTCATCTGGAAACGCCTTCCCCCCCCCCCACACGCACGTTTTATCTAAACAAAACAACGTATGTCACACAATGAGTCTTAAGTGCCATTAGGCAAGCAGGTGACCGTGCCCACATATTGCAACAGAGGAGCTTTTGTTGAGTTGATCTTTTAGGCAATGAATTAAAATTGGATGTCAAATGCTCTCTGGGCACGGAAGGCGACTCCTGCAGGAGCTTCCGGAAGGGCAGAGGAGCAGAATTGAAACAAGAACATTTTGACAAAGTAGGTGTAGATTTTCCCTTCTTGAGGAAGACAAATTAGTTTTAAAAGGTAGCAGTTAAATTACGCTCCACAGCTGTTCTTGTTCCTTGGGTGCCTGGTCTGTGAGTTCAGAGCTTGGTGTGAGAGTACGACCAGCTTTGACCGATGATGGAGATGCGGAAGGTGTTCAGAGAGGAAGATGCGGCTGAAGGACCACCTAGGCCAGCCCCAGGGGGTCGCCAGCTGTTGCCCAGGGAGGCAGGCAGGGAGCAGCCCTTTCAGCCTGCTGCCCTCCAGCAATGCCTTAGAGCAGTGTTTTTCAACCTTGGCAACTTGAAGATGTCTGGACTTCAACTCCCAGAATTCCCCAGCCAGCATTCGCTGGCTGGGGAATTCTGGGAGTTG